ATTTTAAAAAATATATATATATAAACCATATACATATACACTTTACAATAAATTATACCTAATTTCTCTCATTTATCCACATAAAACAAGCCCAAACACATACCCTTAAACAATCTCTAAAAGAAAAAAAATTTGTCACACAGACAGCTCCAGCATGTCTGCCCTAGATGCAGTGATCTACAATCATAAACCATTTTCCAAAATTAGCCATTCTGGTTGTCCCTCCCCTTCTGTCTCTCATGTCAGGGCCTGGTGCTGTCCAGCTCTACATACTTGGAAAGATGAACTATGGAAACATGAAAAACTGTTACACACACACACACACACACACCCGCTCACACACACAAACACTCACACGCCAGTGATAGCATTACTGGGTCTTGTGCAGGGAGGTTGCTGTGGTCTGCTCTTAGGTCCACCAGCCACTGGGCATTGTTTTTATGTGATGCCTCCTCTCATATGCTCTTCCAGAACTGTTCAGTCTCCAGCCTTGGTGGGTCTGCTCTCATGTTATTACCCTGCCACTGAGAGTACATCTTGGATGGCTCAGTGGAGAACATTTGGTTTACTCTCCTGGCTTCAACTTCCCCGGTTGGACCTCTTCAGCCGGGTGGCCAGGGCTGTGGGCCTTTGCTTGGCAGTCTCCAAGGCCTCAGGTATGGACAGTGAGTTGTGCCTCTTAGGTACCCCTTTGTTCATCGCGCCCAAGGACACTTTGACACATGGACTGGAGTAGCATCAAACTGCCAACCCTAGTGGTTGGGGACGACCCACTCTACCGCCTGACGCACAGCCACCCCCAATTAGTTGTCAGCAACAGGCAAGCAACATAACAGTGGACATTAATTGCGTTTATTAGTACAGATCAGCACTGCCAGTGTCAGTGCCATAAGAGAGAGCGAGTGTGTTTAAAAAAGCATCAGTGAGAGCAAAGGGGAGCTCATTAGTGCAGTAATAATCAGATGGTATTCCTGAGATGTTTGGATTTTGTTCATATTTGGGCCAAATAATTTTTAGCTTGATTTCCAATAACCCAGTGACTGCTTCTTGCGAATGTTAGAGCACTGAGCTACTAATTGTTTTGATGTTTGTGTAGATGTTGGGTTTCGAAGTATCCATAGGTCCCACATCACCGTATGTAACCCCTCTCGCTGGGGTTACTCTAGGATAGGCTCCTTTCATCCTAAAGAATGATCTGTCTAAGTTTCAGAAGATGTCCACATACAGAGAGTAAAGTCAAAAAAATGTGTGCCAGCTTGTGCTCTTGTGCACCCCTATTGTCCCCTAGCCGGCTGAAGTCCACATCAGAGGAGGCAAAAGTATAACTCATGGAAGCGACTAACAATAAAGCATACAAGCTTATCAGTGAGTGCATTATATTACAAATCCTAC